GCCATCATTGTTGTTTGGCGGGCCCGGGCTGGGGATTCGAACCTGCCACCTTAGGTGTATGTGGCTGGTGCCTTAGCCACTTGAGCCACAGGCACCGAGCCATCAGACTGTGTTCTGTCTGGAATTTGCTCTGCCCTTGATGACTTGCTCCTGAATTCTGTCCCTCTGGTATACTTAAATTTATTGTCTTGGCAAAGTGACAGATTACCACATGCCAGCAGCCTCTACAAAGTCAGAACCTCATGTATTATGTGATACCAAGTTCTGCAACTGCATAACAACAGCTCTTTGGGGGGGCGGGTTCATTAAGGGTACAAAGAATTAGGTTGCACTGATTGCATTTGTTAGATAAAGTCCCTCTTATAATTGTCTCCTGCCCCCAAGAGGCGTGCCATACATTGTGCCCCCCAATCTCCCTCCTCCTCCCTTCTCCCTGCTGCCTCATTCCACTACCCTCCACCTTGCATTGGCTCATCTGCTGCCTTCATATTAGAATTGAGTACATTGGATTCTTCCTCCTCCATTCTCGTGATGCTTTACTAAGAATCATGTGTTCCATCTTGATCCAGGTTAATACAAAAGATGTAAAGTCTCCATCTTTTTTAGTGGCTGAATAGTATTCCAAGGTATACATATACCACAGCTTATTAATCCATTCCTGGGTTGGTGGGCATTTAGGCTGTTTCCACATTTTGGCAATTGTAAATGTAGCTACAATAAACAGTCTATTGTAATGTCCTTATGATAAAAGGATTTTTTTTCTTCTGGGTAGATGCCCAGTAATGGGATTGCAGGATCAAAAGGGAGGTCTAGCTTGAGTTCTTAGAGAATTCTCCATACTTCCTTCCAAAAAGGTTGTATTAGTTTGCAGTCCCACCAGCAGTGTAAAAGTATTCCCTTCTCTCCACATTCACACCAGCATCTGTAGCTTTGAGACTTTGTGATATGGGCCCTTCTCACTGGGGTTAAATGTTTCAGGGTAGTTTTGATTTACATTTCTCTGATGATAAGGGATGATGAACATTTTTTCATATGTTTGTTAGCCATCCGTCTTCTTTCTTTCTTTATTTATTTTTCTGAGATAGTGTCTTACTGTGTCGCCCTGGGTAGAGTGCTATGGCATCGCAGCTCACAGCAACCTCAAGGTCTTGGGCTCAAGCGATTCTCCTGCCTCTGCCTCCCAAGTAGCTAGGACTACAGGTGCCCGCCACAACGCCCGGCTATTGTTTGGTTGCAGCGGTCATTGTTGTTTGGTGGGCTTGGGCTGGATTCGAACCCACCAGCTGCAGTGTATGTGGCTGGCGCCCTAGCTGCTGAGCTATAGGTGCCAAGCCCCCATCTGTCTTCTTTAGAGAAGGTTCTATTTATGTCTCTTGCTCAGTGATATATGGAATTATCTTTTTTGTTGATTACTTCTTGTTCTCTATAGATCCTATTTATCAGGCTTTTGTCTGATTCATAATATGCAGGTATCTTTTCCCATTCTGAAGGCTGTCTGTCTATTTGCTTTGGATGTTGTTTCCTCAGCTATACAGAAGCTTTTCAGTTTAATTAAGTCCATTGCATAACATCAGCTTCAAGGAGGAGGATGGCCAAAAGTCAGCTGAACTTCCAGCACGTGCTGAGCTGGAAAAGGAACTAAGTGTTTAAATTGCTTTTTTCTCCCCCTATGGCAGGACTAGAAATCTTTTTTTAAAATTGCTTTTGTGTGTAACTGTTTACTTTCTCTGTTTTTATTGAAGGGATTTTGCTTGCCCAAAGAATTTATGGAAGATTCAGCAGGAGAGGGAGCAGCTGAGTTCCATGATTATGAGGGAGGTGGAATTGGAGAAGGTGAAGGCATGAGGGACGTGAGTGACCAGATAGACAATGAAGAACAGGTGGGTGTTCACACATGACGTGGATGGTGCAGTCTACAGAGACTGGCTTTTTTTTTCATATAATGGTATTTATTAGGTTAATGGTTTTTAAATTGTGATCTACGGAGCTTGGGCAGTGGGTACAAACAAAAACCACAGGGAAGGCACCTCACACCACAGCCCTTGCTGGTGGCTGTGATGTTAGGAAGAATCATTTGTATAGTTTTTTTTTAATGGGAGCTATTTGTTGATTTTCTACAGAGTATTTTTTGTTAGTAGTACTTTTAAGCATAAAATGTTTGGCTGTTGCACTAAATAGTAATGGCAAAGTTTGCTGTTAATAGCTTTTGTTGTATATCTTTAAGACATGTTGAGTTTTTTTTTTTTACTCTTTTTTTTTTGGTTGGAATCAAGAATGCTTTTCAAATATTCAGATGCTATGGACTAAGTTTGTTCCATTGCTATTTTAAATGACTATCACTGGGAGTGATTTTTGTGTGTGTACACACTAAATTGGTCATTTAGATTAATCAACTATGACTTGAAATAAAATGTAGCAAAATTTATTTTTCTCCATTTATATTCTAAGTTAGACTAGAAATTTGTATTTAAGATAATTTTATAGCTACTAAAACTAAAGGTGCAAACCAATTTAAAGTCTCTTCTTGGCATGGAAAACTGGAAGGAAATAAACCGAAGAGTAGGACCAGTGTTTATGTGGGGAACTCTTGTCATTTTTTATTTTGATGTAGGAGATACCTGAAAAGAAACACCTTGGTAGTTGGGTGGCGCCTGTGGCTCAGTGAGTAGGGCACCAGCCCCATATACTGAGGGTGGCGGATTCAAACCCGGCCCCGACCAAACTGCAACAACAACAAAAAAATAAAATAGAATAAAATTTAAAAAAAAAACAAAGAAGAAGAAAGAAACACCTTGGTAGTAAGGGAATAGGGAAGGGATTGTTCTCTCGTTAAAAAGCACGAGAGCACATAACTTCATTGCTGGGCAGTCTCCACACCTGTGCTATAAACAGCTCCGGGGTCACTTCCACCAACAGCCAGGGGAGAAGTTAGTTGGGTCTTCGGCTCCTTCTAAGACTGACAGCACCTTTGAGGTGCTCCGGCACCTCTGACCTGACTGAGACAACTGGCTCCTCCTGATGGGGAACCTTACCTGACTGAGACCTTGGGCTCCCCAGCACTTATGGGGGGGCCATACCCCAAGCAAGCGCATACAGCAGTCCGAGTCCTGCAGTTTCATGGGCTGGGGCTGGCGATCTAGTGTCCCTGCTCTGACATTTTGGCCTTTCTGTGGTTTTCAAATTTAACTTAACATATACTTTCTTTTTTAATTGGGGGAAAAAGAAACGTAAACTTAATAGATAAATACAATCTACATATAAAACATTAAGTGGGATAAACAGCTTACTAGCACAGTGTGGCAATATCTGCTGAGTTTTAAATTCTGTAGATTAATGTACCAAATAAGCCCCTCTCCCCAAATCTATATACATTTTTTGTGGGGGGGAATTAGGGTCTCACTTTATTGCCCAGGCAAGAGTGCAATGATCTTTGCTCACTGCTGTCTCCAAATAGCTGGGACTACAGGTATGTGCCACCACACTCGACTAATTTTTACCATTTTGTAGAGATGGGGTCTCACTATACTGCCAGCCTGATCTTAAACATGGCCTTAAATGCCCTTGTTTTCCAACGTAAATGCTAGAAGGTTTGTGAGGATGTAAGTAAGTATACCTGTACAGGATTATTTATAATGATGAAAATTGTGAAATAATCCAAGTATTTGTCAATTGTTTAAACTGTGGTATCATCCATGCAGAACAATACTAAAATAATAATTAAATAGAATGAGATGAATTTGTATGTATCAACATGGAAATATGTCTAAGATACGTTTATTAAGATAATAGAAAAGATTGCTTTAGGGTCATTGCTAAAGTATGATCCCTTTTTTTGTTTGTTTAAGAGGATGTTCAGAGGCAGGTGTTGATACATATCAGCTATATTCCTGGCTATGTGTCGGTGTATTCAAGGATAAAGGTCAGAGATGCACCAGAATGTCACCAGTGGGAGTTCTGGAGGATGGGAGTGCTGTGGGAAACTTGGTCCTGCCAATTAGCTTGTAACTCTTCCAAAGAGATTTGATTACTTTTATTTTTACTTTTGGAGACAGAGTTGCACTATACTGCCTTTGATAGAGTGCTGTGACGTCACAGCTCACAGCAACCTCAAACTCTTGGGCTCAAGTGATTCTGTTGCCTCAGCCTCCCAAGTAGCTAGGACTTCAGGTGCCCACCACAACTCCTAGCTATTTTTTGGTTTCAGTTGTCATTGTTGTTTGGCAGACCTGGGCTGGATTCGAACCCGCCAGCTCTGGTGTATGTGGCTGGCACCTTAGCCACTTGAGTTACAGGCGCTGAGCCCCAGATATTTTTTTGTTGCAGTTGTCATTATTATTTAGCTGGCCTGGGCCAGGTTCGAACCTGCCAGCCTGGGTGTATGTGGCCAGTGCCCTACCCACTGACCTATAGGTGCTGCCTTGATTACTTTTATATTTTATTTTATTTAGTAATTTTTTATTTCAGGTTAATATGAGGGTATAAACAAGTAGGTTACAATATTTGCATTTATCAGATAGAGTCCCTCTTAAGTTGTGTCCCGCATCCAAGAGCTGTGCCATATGCCTTTCCATTGTGCCCAGTAAGTGGAAGCACACCAATCCCCTCTGCCTTTGTATTTTGGAAAAAGGACTTTTAGAAATTAACTGTAATGAAAGTTATAAAGATGAATCTTTTTGCCCCGAGTATTACATAGATTATTTACAAATATATAAATTAAGGAAAAAATGAGCAAAATTACACTCATATTGGGACACATTCAGAGATCACAGTAACAAAAGTAGATATTAAAAACATAGATAATAGGCTTGGCGGCTGTACCTCAGCGGTTAGAACACTGATCACATACAGCGAGGCAGACAAGTCTGAACCCAGCCTGGGACTGTTAAAACAACAATGACAACCGCAACAAAAAAAATATGTGGGTATCGTGGCAGGTGCCTGTAGTCCCAGCTGCTTGGGCAGCTTAGGCAAGAGAATCATTTAAGCCCAGGAGTTTGAGGTTGCTATGAGCTGTGATTCCACCGCACTCTACCCAGGGTGACATAGACTCAGTATCAAAAAAATATAGATAGATAGATAGATAGATAGATAATACAGTAAGGTTGATGATGAATTTTTTTTTTTTTTAATCAAACTGGTTAACATAGCCTTCACCACATTTTCTTAGTAACTATGTTAGGACATTTCTATTTTACACTTAGTAGATTTAACATGTACCCTTGTAAAATGCACCATAGGAGTGGTCCCACCAATTACCCTCCCACCACCCACCCTCTCCTGTGATGAATTTTTTTATTACAATTGTCTAGAATTTAAAAATCTTGAACAAGGGTGGCACCAATAGCTCAGTGGGTAGGAGGCTGGCAGGTTCGAACACAACCTGAGCCAGCTAAACAACAGTGACAACTGCAAGCTGGGCCTTGTGGTGGGCGCCTGTAGTCCTAGCTACTTGTGAGGTTGAGACAAGAGAATCTCTTATGCCTAAGAGTTTGAGGTTGTTGTGAGCTGTGACATAGTGAGACTCTGTTCAAAAAAAAAAAAAAAAAACTTGAACAAAATTTCCTATTATCTGATTATAAATGCAGTAAAGTGGGAATGAACTCCAGCAGTGTAAAACAAATTCTTATAAATTATTCCATATGGCAACTGCTGTTGGTTCTTTTTATTTTACTGTCCCAAGAAATATTTTTACCTCATTAACTTTGACATTTATATTCCAGAGCTGAAGTAAAGATGAGTGAAGCCACAACGTTCACTCATGTTTTCCATGATGGTTTTTGGATACAGGTGGAAGACGCGTTTTCCAAGGGTCAAGAAAAAGACAAAGAGGATCCGGACTCAAAACCCGACATCGCAGGAGAAGACAATGCCGTGGAGATGTCAGAAGATTTTGATGGGAAGGTGCATGGTGGAGAGCTTGAAGAACAAGGTTTGAGATTGCCTGTCACTTCACTCTTCTTTTTGACGTCCCTTATCTTGTGAATTACATGTTCCCAGTAAGGAACCTAGTGTAATCTTGTGAGATTAATTGGTTATTCTGCTTGACTGCACTTAAACTCTCTGTATCAGTGTGTGCTGTGTCTGGCTGCCCAGAGGCAGCCTGTCACAGCCTCGGACTCATCTGCTCTCCTCCTCTGACTACCCCCGGGCTGTGGACTGATGATGTTCTTGCTGCCTCAGGTGCTAGCCGCAGGGGCTTGGGGGTGCCCTTTGGGAAGGCCTAGAGGACAGAGTGCCCATCTCTCACAGAACTAGCTTCTAACAAACAGCAAATTGTTCTGGGGTGTTTTTTAAAAATATTTTTTTTCCTAAATATAAAAGTAAAAAATAGTACATACTTCTTTTAGATGGTCTGGAACAAGAATGTAGGAAAGAAATAGATCCTCTTAGGCCCAACACCAGAACCACTTAGTAAAATTTGGTATAGTTCTTTCTGCTTATTACATATATGTGTGTTTACACAGAGACCAGGCACTGTGCCATAGTCTGCTTTTTCATTTAATTTGAGATATAGTGTTTTATTTGCAGTGAAGATCTTGAAGAAATGACAGCTGCTAAGTGACTCTAGAGTTGAAGAATGTATACTCTCTTGACCTTGATAAAATAGAACTTGAGCAAAGACAAAAGCAAGAACGTTTTGATTAATTGGTCTAGACCTGATTTTGATGTTGGGTAATAGCGTGGAAGCCAGTACGTTGGCTTCCACGGGGGAAGAGGAGATGGGGAGGACCCTTGGAGATCAATGATGGTCCAAGCCCGTCATTTCACAGAGATATGAAATTAAGGCCAGGGAGGCTGCCAAGTCCCGTGTGGAGGTGTTTTCCTCAGTAGCAGAAGCAGACGTTCTGATGGCTGTTTGGCTGCTCCTCACTAGCTGTTCCTAGGCTACAGATTCGGGTCTGCCCAAGTAAGCACGGTGCTTTTCCTTCCAGAACAGGGTGATGAGCGGTCAGAGAGTGAAGGTGGAGACCTGGATAAGCAGATGGGTGATCTCAATGGTGAGGAAGCTGACAAGCTAGATGAGAGGCTTTGGGGTGATGAGGATGATGAGGATGAGGAGGAGGAAGAAGACAACAAAACTGAAGAAACAGGACCAGGAATGGATGAGGTAATTAAAAGATTGCCCAGATCCCAGTGTCCCTCGGCTGACAAGAGGTAATCTGCCCTCCATCTATCGCTCCCTGTCATTTACTGATCTTTTTCTTCTATCTTTATCTTCTCTTTCTTCCATCTCTCTTTTTTTCTTTTTTCTATCCTGTCTCATTGACTGTATTCAGGGATAAAAGAGTAGCCTGACTTTGGTCCATCTCACATGTTATGGGGGAAGGTTAGGAAGACTTAAGGCAGATGCTGTGGGCCCCTGAATTCTTCCCACTGCCAGCATAGGAGGGCACCAGGGCCAAGTGTGATCCTGCAGAGGCAGTATGATACATCTGGTCACCAGCCCCTGTCCGTCATGCGCCCCTGTCCATCATGCACCCCTGCTACGGTCTGGGAGATGGGGCCTATTCTCTCCAGGTCATAGGTGACACCCTGTTGGCACATACGCCCATGGGATAAACCAGATAGGCAGAAATTGTGCATGTCTGGGAGCTGTGTTAAGCCCTGTGGAACCAGCGTCTTGAATTGGGTGTGATGGCATTGCATTTTTCCTTCCTCTGGCATTTAGGAAGACTCTGAACTTGTTGCTAAAGATGACAACTTAGATGCGAAGAATTCAAACAAAGATAAAAACCAGCAAGATACGAAGGAACAAAAAGAAGCAGACTCTGATGATGGTGGACAAAGCCAAGACAAAATTAATGAACAAATAGATGAGGTAATGAAGATACAGAACTGATCAACTCTCCTGCCTCAAGGCCAAGACCACAGCCTGTGTGGCTCTGGGGCTATCTTGTGATTCCTCCTGTCCATTGATTGCCTCACAAAACAAAATGCAATAGAAGCTTGTAACAGAATATAAAATACCTAGCTTTTTTTTTTTTTGTTTACTGCTAAGGTGGTTGTTTGGGCTCAGGCTGTGTTTCTGAAGCTAAAACCTGAGGTCCTTTTCTTTTTTAATTCTCGAAAGCATCTCATAAGTTTCATTGAGATTAATCTGTATAGAAAATGAAACCTGAAAGTCCAACACGAAAGGTCTAAAAATATTATTCAAATACTAATTTGTGCTCATAATTTTAGGGAAGAGATACTATATTCTCTCAGCATGGTATAAATGCTTAGAACTAGTTTCATGTGAATTCTAGTTTTTATTTTTATTTTTGAGACAGCGCCTCACTCTCTCACCCTTAGTAGAGTGCTATGGCATCATCACAGCTCACAGCAACCTCCAATTCTTGGGCTCAAGCCATCCTCCTGCATCAATGTTTCATTTTTAGTAGAGACAGGGTCTCACTCTTGCTCGGGCTGGTTTCAAAATCCTGAGCTCAGGCAGTCCAGAGTGCTAGGATTCTAGGTGTGAGCCACTATACCCAGCCTTGAATTCTAGTTTTCAAAAAAGATTATTCTTATTTTTCCCCCTATTCTCTCTGTTGCCCCAGAGCGAATATGATGAGAATGCTGTGGGCCCTTACCATGGCAATCAGGAAGAGCTACTGGAACCTGAGGCTTTGGACCTTCCAGATGATTTGAATCTTGACAGTGAAGACGAGAAGGGTGGCCAGGACACAGACAGTGAAGGACCAGAAGGTGAGTCTTTCAGAAACCCATAAGAACCAAGGTGCAGCTCATCAGAGATGAGCAGTAACTGGTTTCTTTTCAGAGAGCTAGGCCAGTGTCATGGCCAGGCAGGAGACTGCGTTCAGTTAGCTCAGCTTCAGTTCAAGGAAATTGTTTGCTTTTCCTTTGTAGCGCTCCTCACATGAGGAGGTCCACAGCTAGGTCTCACTGCCTTCCTGCCCTGTGTCTCGGCACTTCTGTTGTGGTGCTTGGCACGTAGTGCTGTCTCTGGCCGGCCGTTGCTGTGCGTACCACCTCCTGGGCTGATGAGGTGCATTTGGGGGAGGCCAGGTCTCTCGTGAGGAAATGATGGTTTCAGTTACTGATCATTGTACATTTATAGTGGGAAATGAGACTGGAGAGAAATCATGTCACACATGACAGCAAGCTGGCACCTGCACGAGTCCTGTAGTGAGCACTGTCTGATAATAGTTGAGAGCATCGTGCGTGCCGTGCCTCCGAGAGAGGCCCCATACTGCCACTTAACCAGACAGGGATGTCACCTAACCCCACTCTGAATAATGAGTCAGGGACACCCAGAAATCTATCCTAGTATATACCTGTCTCTTTATAATGCCACAGTAGAGCACAAACAGTAAGCTACCAAAGAATAAATAAGAGGTACCACTTCTGTAGACGTTAAATTTTAGTATCTGGTTTCAAGCATAAAATTTAACTAAAAACCACTAAGAGTGTTGTAAACAGTTGGCTTGTAATATCTCAGCATGTTTGTGCTATTTATTGTTGTGTGTTAGGGAGCAGTTATTTTAAATAATTTTTAATGATTATCTTTAGTAAGATAATCATAAAACAATAATAAAGTTACTTAAAAGACTTTACCAGTCTAACAACTGATTTTCCAAGTGTCCAAAGTATAGAAAAACCCTTTTTTCACAAACAAAACTTTTTCAAATAAGATTCCTTCTATTTTAATGTGTGTTGTATTTTCTGACGGTGATAAACAATGATGTCTACCAGTTAGATAATTGAGCAGTAAGCTGTCATGTCTTATCTTTGATCTAAAATTTTCCTGTTGTAATTTTTTTTTCTTTTTTTTGGAGACAGAGTCTTACTTTCACAGCAACCTCAAACTTTTGGGCTCAAGAGATCCTCTTGCCTCAGCCTCCCAAGTAGCTGCACCTATTATAATTTTTATTTTTTGATTTAATGAAATGTGCCATTGAAACAATTATATATGATGGGCACATGGTTTAGAATAGGGGTAAACTAACTTTTTCTATAAAGGGTCAAGTATTTTAGGCTTTATAAGTTACCATCTAAGTTCTGATATGGTGTAAAGGCAGCCATAGGCAGTACAAGTTGACAGGGAAACATACAGCTGTGTTTCTGTAAAACTTCACAGTACATGTGACTGGCCAGATCTGGCTCTTTGGGTCATAATTGTCAAACCTTATTTTAGAGAATAATAATAAAACACTTGGGCTTGGTGCCTGTAGCTCAGCGGCTAGGGTGCTGGCCACATAGACCAGAGTTGATGGATTTGAACCCAGCCTGGGCCATCTAAACAATAATGACAACTGCAACAACAAAAAATAGCTGGGTGTTGTGGTGGGCACCTGTAGTACCAGCTACTTGGGAGGCTGAGGCAAGAGAATTGCTTGAGCCCAAGAGTTTGAGGTTGCTGTGAGCTATGACACCTCTGCACTCTACCGAGGGCAACTCTGTTTAAAAAAAAAAAAAACTTACTTGCTTAACTACTTCCTAGGTTAAGAAATCATATAAGCTTTAAAAGTTCTGTGACATTTTTTTCTTGTATCCATCCAGAGGAGAATCCTTTGGAGATACAAGAAAAACCAGTGGATTTGGAAGAAGAAAGTCATGAAGCCGAGGAAAGAAATGAAGAGATGGACACTGACAAGAGTGAAGGTCAAGGTCCACATGAGCCTGAGGAAGGCCCTGGTGAAGAGGACAGGAAGGAAGAGGAGGAGGAGATGGACACAGGAGCTGACACCCAAGACACAGAGGCTGGGGAGCTTCCCGAGGAGCATCCAGAGCAGCAGCAGGCTCCAGAGGAGGAGGACCAGGGAGCTGAGGAGGACCCCGGAAGCAGTAATGTCCCTGTTGACCAAGGTTTCCAGCCACAGGTAATGTGGGATGTCTGGCTTTTCTTATGTTCAAAATAATGAGTGGGAGGAGAAACTACCTTATTCCCAGTGGAATCTCTTTTAGGATACTTCTCCATCAGCAGATGGTATTGTCAAGGAGTTCTAAATTTCTGTTTTAAGACTCTGGCTGATGGCCTCCTTGCAGACCCCATTGGTGAGGAATGGGGGCCTGCTTGCTTTAGGGTCCCACACTGTTTGTTCTTCCTCCAGATCATTTAATGCTGTGTTTGATTTCTCTGCAGCCACAGAAAGAGGAAGGGGAGTGCTCTGACACAGAGGAGCCAGTGCTGGAGGCTGCAGAGCAGGAGGAGCATGCCTCCTGTGGGCAAACTGGCTTGGAGAACATGCAGAGTCTACAGGCTATGGAATTGGCTGGGACTGCGCCCGAGAAGGAGCCGGGGCGAGAGGTGATGGGCCCTCACTGCCGTGGCTGTGGCCATCTTCTCCCTGTCTGAATCACAATCTACCGAGCAGGAGTTGGTTTACATTTGGTCTTTTGTTTCATTGTTGTTGACATTGAGATTATATCCCGTTCTTTGAGAAAACGGTCATACAGTCAGACATTAATGATGGGATACATTCTTAAAAAAAATGTTTTGTTAGATGGTTTTGTCACTGTGGGAGTATCATAGAATGAGTGTCCTTATACACACTGAGATGACACAACCCACTACATGCCCAGGCCATCTGTGCCACCTGTTGCTCCTGGGTGCAAACCTATAAGCATGTTCCTGTGCTAAGTGCTGTAGACAGGTGTCACACTATCTGTGCATCCGAACTTAGAAAAGGCACAGTTAAAACACGCCCTTAACGATGTTATGGGACTAGTGTTATATATGAAGTCTCCTGTTGACTGAGACCGCATCATGCGGTACGTCGGGACCACATGTCAGTCTTCATATCCCTCCCAGGACCAGCCCCAGAATATGTGCCACAGGCTGTATTTAAGTGCTGTGCACAAAGAAAAGTTACTAGACATGGTAGTTCTTACTGGGAGAACCAGGTCCATGTTTTTCAGAGAGCCCCCAGGAAGAACAGGTCAACTTCAGACTCCATGCAGCATCTGCCTCTGAGGAGGCTTTGCTGTCCTGGCTAATCACCAGGCTTCTAAACGTCTTAATTTAAAAAGCAAAGCACATCTTTCCTGACCCTGATGGTGATGGGCTCTAAAAGGGCCAGAATTCAGGCTGCTGGTGCTCCGGGAAGAGTAGAATGAGAGAATCTGGCTGCTACAGGGACTCTGCACAGCTTGTTAGCTCTGCACCCCAGTTCTCCCCTCAATAGTAACTGTCAGTTTGTACAGCATCCCCACAGTCATTCTCTTGAGTTCCCATTCAGTACTAACCAGTTTTGTTACTTCAGCCAGTCTTCACAACATCCCATGGTAGACACCTCACGTTCTGTTTTCTCCACCGTGTGTGTGAGGAAAATAAGCCTCCGTGAAGTGAATGACTCCCCAGGGTTCACAGAGGTTGTTGAAGCCTGGTTTCTAACTGAGGTCTGTCCTGCCTTTGGAGTGATACATTCTTTCCTAGACAAGCGGAGAGTTTAGTATCCAGTGTTCCTTTTCCTACCTGGAAGCTAGGCCTTATCAGGGCAAATCCCAGAGTAGGCAGGAGGGACCCTGTGACTGAGGAGACCCAACTGTGCCAGTGCAGCGACCGGCGCTTGTGGCGCTCTGTGCAGCTCACCCTTCCATGGCTTGGATTTCTAGGAGCATGGGACTGGAGCCGCAGATGCAAACCAGGCGGAAGGTCACGAGTCCAACTTCCTTGCCCGGCTGGCCTCCCAGAAAGACACCAGGAAAAACACACAGGTTTCTGTCTCTCCTTAACTAAACTGGGATGAAGGGTGGGTATAGAAAAAGATGCTCTAAATGTAGTGGTTTAAGCAAAAAACAATGCCATCCACCAGAAGCTACGGCAGCCTTGTTGAGCAGACCAGAGAGGGGCTTTTTCCTGAGCCCTCCCTCTGTCCCTGTTGTGGGGCCTGCACACCTGACTGCGAGATGATGTCTTCTCTTTCCACTGTCCATTGTCTTTTGCGTTTGAAAATTTATTTTTTAGCAGGGTGGAATTTATACACCTGATAAAAATAAGTATATAAAAAAAGCCTGCACATGTTATTCCTATTCACATGCAACTCAGGAGCCTGCCCAGATCTGACGTGGTGCTAGTAATTTTTTTTTGTTCAGAAATGCTTTCTCTGTATATAATGCGGGCACATATGCATGTGCAAGGGTGTGTTTCTTTGTTTCTTTGCTTTGTTTTAGATACAGAGATTATTCTATTGAAGTATATAGAATCCCCATTCTGGGTAATAGCTACATTACATCCCATTATTATATGGCTGTCCCAGTTTACTTAGCCGCCTCCTGGACTTAATGGTTGCTTGAAGAATTCACCATCATAGACAAAGCTCTGAAGAATTTTCTGATACTTCCCACAGAGTTTTAAGAGGAAACCTGGAGAAGCTGACAATGAGCGCTCTATGGGCAATCACAATGAGCTTGTACACAAGAGGCTCAGAACTGTGGATGCAGACAGCCACTCTGAGCAGAGCCCAGACCAGCCCCGGGCTCAGGTGGAGGATGCAGACGTGTTTGAGCACATTAAACAAGGCACCGACTCATATGATGCACAGACCTATGGTATGTTGCAAGGAAAGCTGTTCCGTTTACTCTGAGAGCTTGTGCTCTGTGACTGAGACATAGCAGTGAGAACCCAGGTAAACATCTCATTCCTGTGGTTACTGTACAGTTGGTTAACACTAGTGCTTCATGACTCCCATGGGAGGTAGGAGCAAGCAGTTACTTTAGTAGGTCAGCAGGAAATCTTAGGTGCAAACATGTGTCTAGGCCACGTAGCTAGTCAGTGGCACAACCAGCATTAGTAGAATTTTGGAAGCTAGAAGTGACAGAAACTATAGCCTGCTCATCGCTTTGTTCTGCAAAGACCTAAGCTCTGTATGTGAATGCACGTGCATGTGTGCATGTATTTTGTTGGTAGATGTGGCCAGCAAGGAGCAGCAGCAGTCTTCAAAAGAGGCTGACAAGGATCAGGAAGAAGACGAGATGGAGGACATCCTCATGGACACAGAGGAGCACGAGGAGCTCGCCACAGTAGACGCAGAGCCGCTGGAGCCAGAGGAGGTCAAGTCCAGCACCACAGCCACCTTCAGTGAGTCCTGCACATACCCTCCCTGAGCACACTGACCTAGAGCTGCCAGTGCCGGTGTGCTGTAGTGTAGTCTAGGCTGTGGTTCCTATGCTCATCCATGGGTTAGAGGAATACATTGCCTGTGGTAACTTCACTATATTTTATTTGTGAGGGGGGTTGCTGCAGGACACCATCCATCAAGGAGACCCTTGAAACAAGAATTTCCAATAAAATCCCATTCATCTTTTTAAGATACGTTGAAGAAAACAGATTAATACATTTACGGCAGCTGGGGTGAGAAAGAATATTCTTTATTAGAGAAATGATGCTTTCAATTATATAAAAGTATATAATATTAGCCTGAAATGTGTTAAAAGATTGAATGAGGAAAATGCATAGCTAAGCAAGTTCTAGGCTCAGTGTCCATAGCACAGTGGTTATGGCACTGGCCACATATATCAAAGCTAGTGGGTTTGAACCTGGCCTGGGCCAGCTAAACAATGACAACTGCAACAAAAAAAATAGCCCAGGTGTTGTGGCGGGCGCCTGTAGTCCCAGCTACTTGGGAGGCTGAGGCAAGAGAATCGCTTAAGCCCAGGAGTTTGAGCTTACTGTGAGCTGTGACTTCACGGCACTCTACTCAGGGCAACATAGTGAGACTCTGTTTCAAAAAAAAAAAAAAAAGGAAGTTCTATTACTAGACAGTTGATTTTTAAAAAGACATTCAGCACATTAAAAATAGGATAAATGGGGCGGCGCCTGCAGCTCAGTGAGGAGGGTGCCGGCCCCATAGACCAGGCGGCAGTTCGAACCTGGCCCCGACCAAACTGCAGGAAAAAAAATAGGATAAATGCAAATTGAAAAGAAACTGTCAGATTCAAAGCCTTTTTCTTCTGCTTCATTCCTGTCCTCTGGGGGTGTCCGACACGTCTGTCCTGCTGCTTTGTGACAGTGAGGAAAGCAGAGCTGCGTGATCACTTTCTGGATTCAAATCCAGGCTTTGCCTCTTCACAAGTTGAGGCAAATTATTCACCTTGTCTTTGTATCAGTTTACTCATCTATAAAATGGAACCATGTTTTTCCCTAATTTTTTCAAACTTCTACATGCACAGAGTTGTAAGAATCACACAAGTTTTACAAAATTTGTTAAGATAAACTATAGTCTTAACTATTTTTTCTCTCTAAAACATCTGCCTTGTTGGGGAGGCAGGGAAATTAGGGAGTAAGAACTGGCAGTTGCCTATTTCACATAGAAAGGAGATTTGGACCAAACATGTGGGAAAATGCTGGGGAGGGAGTAACTGTGTAGTTTGATTAATTGTGAGGACTGAGGGGCAGCAGCAAAGGCTCAGCCAGCCATTGTGTTAATTCTGTACACATGAGTATTTGTGTCCTTGTGTGGAACTAGGCTCTGATGAGGTGGAGGCCCAAACTGTTAAAACAGAGAAAGAGGAAGCCCTCAGCACAGACAAGTCTGACAAGGAGACCCAGAATGGGAACCCAGAGAGAAGCCGAGATTCAACCATCCATACAGCCCATCAGTTCCTGATGGGTACCATTTTCCAGGTGCTAAAACAAATTAAAATACAATTCTAAGTTGCCTTTAACTTTGAATCTTTGCCTTTAGAAGGAACATCTGGTTGTTTTGGTGCATCATGTTCTTAACCGAATTTTTAGAAAGTGATCGGTGTGACAGGTTTTTTAAGCAGATGACTCTGCTCCAGTGGTTAGTCCCAAGGTTGTATGACCTGACCCTAACAGTAGTTCTGGTCCTGGGCCTCTGGCTCTCATGTCCCGCTCTTCTCACCATCTTTGTGTAAGAAACCTTCAGAGTAATTAGAAGGTGATGGGGTTAAGGAGAAAGAATCTTTGGTTTAATGCCTGTGTGCAGGAAGGGCCATTTAATTGAGTTCTTTTCCTTAATAGTTTGACTTACTGGTAGTCTGGCTTGATCAAAGAATAGAGCAGATTTATAAATGTTTAAAATTCCCTTTGTATTGTCTCTTAAGATGGGATCAGACTGTGAATGGTTGTCTGGCATCTTATCACTTTGCTGCTGAATTTGTTGAAGTTTTGAATCTCAAGCATTTGACTGGATACTTTGAGGTCACACTGCAGGGAGGAAGGCAGCCAGTTATGCCAGTTTGGGGAATCCAACCCTGGCTGCTGCTTATCTGAGGCTTTTTTTTCTTAGCCCTTTTTAAAAGATGTCAGTGAGCTAAGACGGGAGTTGGAGAGACAGCTGGAAACGTGGCAGCCACATGAATCTGGAGACCCAGAAGAAGTAAGTCACTGGATTTTTCATAAAATAGCTTGACTTTTTTTATTTTTAATTTTTTGGTTTTGTTTTTTTAAGATACTGCAAACTTAGTACGTTTTTTGCTCCAATCACCTTTGGACCAGGCATGAGAGAAATATAATCACAGTCCTAAAGCCCAAGTCTGTCCCTTGCTTTCTGTCTGCATCGGCACCAGCTCTGTGGCCGAACTTTGGCCAAACTAAAACAGAGAGAAACTGGCCAGGGTAGTTCCTTCAGTGCTGTTGTATCTGCTGTCCTCATCACTCCCACCACGCACACGTATCAAGTGCTCTGCCACAGTGGGTTGGCTGTGTGTGTTGGGAGGAAGCCTCCCATGGGGTGTGTTACTTGAGGGATTTGCACTCACTGGTCACTTTTACTTTTGAGACATGACTCTAAGAGCCACGAAGAGTAGCTGGATCTGTTGGCACCAAAATCACACATTCATATCTCCCTCCTTAGGTGAAGGTTACAGGTGTATACTCTTTGTAAGTGATGTGAATAAGGCATGGATTTGGTCATGAAATCCAATAATAAACTGCCTTGTTTCACTCTTTCCTCACTGGGAAGTCTGAGTTACGGTTTGGTGGAAGGGGAGACATTTTTGATCACAAGAATCAGGCAGCACGTGGCTGAGAGGAGTTTTAAGTGCTTCTGTTTGAGAAAGTTTGCACATGTCATTTTCTGCTAATTTGCTTCAGGCTTCCATCTTATACTGACTTGATTGGTTCTGACAGCAAGGTTAACTTACATGCTCTTGTCGCAGGAGAAGGCTGCAGCTGAGATGTGGCAGAGTTACCTGGTCTTAACTGCACCTCTTTCACAACAGCTGTGTGAACAGCTCCGTCTCATCTTAGAGCCCACCCAGGCAGCCAAGCTGAAGTAAGTCCTTCCATCAAAAGCTCTCACAGTGCCCCGGAAGGATGGCAGTGTGGTTGATTTTGCTGGACTCCTCAGCACCTAGCCATTTATGGCACTGGCTTCTAGGTTGTCACTTCTACCGCATTATCACTGAGGCACCAGTGTGGTTCCTCACCTCAGGTTCCTATTATCTATGCCACAGAAGTTTCTGCTGCTTGGTGTGGATGTGTGTGTGTTTAATTTATTACCACAGTGGAATCTCCATAGCTGACCACCTCGTTAAGTTGAGCTAATTTTCACAGACCGGTACCGTAGGCCTAGTTACACATGTTGACCACCTCCATATGTTGACCAGTTTGTTACAGTCCTGTGGATGGTCAACTTACAGAGGTTCTACTGTATTTGTTAGAAAAATTGGCTGAGCCTCAGGCTGTGTGTGCAACTCACCTTGTTTCGTGCTGTGTTGTTTACTTGCTACAGGTGTCAGTCATCTAGAGCAAGGCCAAAATCATAGTTTTAGAACAGAAAGAGAGACTCCAAAACTTCATATTCAGTGCAAACAGATTTTTTGTAACTTTTCTAATGTATCCTGGCTCTTCTGAAGGACTTAATTATTACTACCACATACACGTCCAGTTTTTCTAGTTAGTGGTCAAGAAAATCCTGGCCCTTAGTGCACAATGGACAGTGATACTTCATTTTCACAGGTTCCTTGCATAGGTTATTTGGTATCATTGGTTTTAAGATCGTGTTAATGTGATTTCTGTCCTTATGGAAAATTCTGAGGAATTAGCAGGTACTAACTAATCTTTGCCCTTGTCTGGGTGAACTTCATAGAGGAGACTACCGGACAGGGAAGCGACTGAACATGCGCAAGGTCATCCCATATGTTGCCAGTCAGTTTCGAAAAGACAAGATTTGGCTTCGAAGGACCAAGCCCAGCAAGCGGCAGTATCAGATTTGTTTGGCTATCGATGACTCTTCCAGTATGGTGGACAACCACACCAAGCAGGTAGGGAGTGGCAGGGTCGTGGTAGTTAGGTGGGAAGTAAACACCAAACCGTGTTTCATGGGCTACCTAAATGTTTTAAAAATGATCTTACAGAAAACATTTTGAAGGGTGGGTCATGGTGGCTCATGCCTATAATCCCAGCTCTTTGGGAGGCTGAGGTGGGAGGATCTCCTGAGCTCATGAGTTTGAGACCAGCCTAAGCTAGAGTGAGATCCCATCTCTAAAAATAGCTGGGCATTGTGGCAGGCACCTGTAGTCTCAGGAAGCTGAGGCAAGGATAGCTTAAGGATTGCTTCAGCCCAAGAGTTGGAGGTTGCTGTGAACTGTGATGCCACCACACTCTAGTGGGGGGGGGGGTACTCTGTCTCCAGAAAAAAAAAGAAAACATACAGAAATACCAATTAAACTAAGAATGTGATAACTACCTTTGAGAAGATTAAGTATTCAAAAGGGCAATTCAGGATATATTAAATATTCCTAACTATCTAAGTCATTTAAATGGTTTTGTAGTAGTGGGAAAATAAGTAAATCTGGCAATGTTTATTTTCTAGAAAATGCAACATTTGGAGGCTGGGTCTCCTTCTGTCACCTAGGCTAGAGTTCAGTGGTTTCATCATAGCTCACTGCAACCTTGAACTCCTGGGCTCAAGTCATCTTCCCTCTAAGACCTTCTAAGTAGCTACAGGCACATGCCACCATACCCAGCTAATTTTTCTACGTTTTTAGAGACAGAGTCTCACTCTCATTAGGGGTGTTCTTAAACTCCTGTCCTCAAGTGGGCCTTCTGCTTGGCCTCTCAAAGTGCTAGGATTACAAGTGTGAACCACCCCATCCACTTACAATGTACTCTTAAAAAGCATTAAGACTAGGCATGGCATAGTAATATCTGAAACCTTTGGATTTTTTTTTTTTTAATGTATTCAGGATAAAAAAATATGTATTTAATGTATTCAGTATGCATGTAAGTAAGTCTTTTATTATCCAGAGTTAGCCTTCTATCAATTTTAACAACATTAGGAGCCTGAAAAGTATTACAGATGATACCATCATTAGAGACATTGAAGATCCTTGATAAAGTTAAAAATGCCTCTGAGCCTGGTTCATATCCCTGTTCTCCATTTATTACTTCATGATTTGGGGCAACTTCTTTTTCTTTATTTCCTCCAGATAAACATGTTTATTAAGGTGTACTTCGCCCTTAATTTTTTTTTAATTTCAGGTTAATAGGAAGGTACGTACAATTAGTTTACACAGTTTGCTTTTGTGAGGTAAAAGCCCAAGTTGTGGATGTGTCCTTCACCTGGGAAGTGTGCGGTGCACCCACGCAGCATGTCCATGTCCATGCAGGGTGCCCACACAGCACACCCTTTGGGTGGGAGCAGCTTCTTAACTGGCAGTTTCATCTTCTGAAAAATGAAGATAACAGTACAGATGACTTTTTTTTTTTTTTTATTGTTGGGGATTCATTGAGGGTACAAGAAACCAGGTTTCATTGATTGCATTTGTTAGGTAAAGTCCCTCTGACAATTGTGTCTTGCCCCCAAAAGGTGTGGCATACACCAAGACCCCGCCCCCACCCTCCTTCCCTCTCTCTGCTATTCCCTTCCCCACCCTCCCTCCTTCCCCCACCCCACCATGTCATTAATTATCATTAATTGTGCTCATATCAAAATTGAGTACATAGGATTCATGCTTCTCCATTCTTGTGTGGTTTGCTAAGAATAATGTGTTCCACTTCCATCCATGTTAATACTAAGGCTGCAAAGTCTCCATTTTTTTTTTAAATGGCTGAATAGTATTCCATGGTATACATATACCACAGCTTGTTAATCCATTCCTGGGTTGGTAGACATTCAGGCTGTTTCCACATTTTGGTGATTGTAAATTGGGTTGCAATAAACAGTCTAGTGCAAGTGTCCTTATAATAAAAGGATTTTTTTCCTTCTGGGTAGATGCCCAGGAAGGGGAATGCAGGATCAAATGGGAGGTCTAGCTTGAATTCTTTGAGGGTTCTCCATACTTCCTTCCAAAAAGGTTGATTACTTTGCAGTCCTACCAGCAGTGTAAAAGTGTTCCCTTCTCTCCACATCCACGCCAGCATCTGCAGTTTTGAGATTTTGTGATATGGGCCATTCTCACTGGGGTTACGTGATATCTCAGGGTGGTTTTGGTTTGCATTTCTCTAATAGGGATGATGAGCATTTTTTCATATGTTTGTTTGCCATTAGTCTATCTTCTTTAGAGAAGGTTCTATTCATGTCTCTTGCCCATTGATACATGGAATTGTTTGTTTTTTTCATGTGGATTAATTTGAGTTCTCTGTAGATCCTAGTTATCAAGCTTTTGTCTGATTCAAAATATGCAAATATCCTTTTCCATTGTGTAGGTCTATTCGCTTTGATTGTTGTCTCCTTAGCTGTACAGAAGCTTTTCAGTTTAATTCTGTCCCATTTGTTTATTTTTGTGGTTGTTGCAATTGCCACAGCAGTCTTCTTCATGAAGTTTTTTCCCCAGGCCAGTATCTTCCAGTGTTTTTCCTATACTTTCTTTGAGGATTTTTATTGTTTCATGCCTTAAATTTAAGTCCTTTATCCATCTTGAATCAATTTTTGTGAGTGGGGAAAGGTGTGGGTCCAGTTTCAGTCTTTCACATGTGGATATCCAGTTTTCCCAGCACCATTTATTGAATAGGGGGTCTTTCCTCCAAGGTATTCTTGTTTCCACAACTTTTATATGTATATACACATACATATGTGCTTGTAACAATAATTATGACCTCATACACAGAATTGTTAAGCAGATTAAATGATTTGAATATTAATAATATGTAGAACACTCAGTTTGCTTTTTAGACGATTCAAATTCTAAAACTATGCTGTCATTTATGTAAGTGGCAATGGAATTTTCTAATACAGTTCTTTAGTCTGAATTTAAGACATATAAATAAGTTTTAAATTGGTTTTAAAAATTTCTTATCCATAAGAGATTAGTTTTAAAAAAAAGAAAAGAAAATTTTAAATGTATGGACCATATTTCTCAAGGTCCCTTTTATTAGATTTGTCTAGAGTAGACCATTCCTACCAGCATAATGAATTTTAGGTTTCAACCAAAGCCTTTGGGTTTGCTGAAAATTATAACAGTCTTACTGATGGCATTCTCTTGTGTGCCATAAAAAAAACAAAAAATAGCATTTTCTGTGGGAATCTTGATGTAAAAAATGATTGAGAGGCACTGGTGTAAAGGATATTCTGCTTCCTTAACTCCTTAACTTTCTGTTTCAAGCTTGCATTTGAATCTTTGGCTGTGATTGGAAATGCTCTCACCCTCCTGGAAGTAGGTCAGATTGCAGTGTGCAGGTACGGTCGCCTTTAATCCCACTGGGGAAACCCTTCCACAACTTAGTTGATCACATGATGAAAAATAACTCCTTTTGTATTTGGTTTTTCTGTCCCAAGTTTTGGAGAGTCTGTAAAGCTGTTACACCCATTCCACGAGCAATTCAGTGATTCCTCGGGGTCCCAGATTCTACGGTTCTGTAAATTCCAACAAAAGAAAACCAAGATTGCTCAGGTATGTAGATGAAATCAACTATCTTCTCCATAGATATTCTTAAATTTGTATAGGAGAGAAAAATTTTGGATTCTCCTGCCTAAAATGGTAAGGACAGATAAAATTTAGAATAAAGAATAGTCCTGAACTTTAGCTTCTGTACTGTTGGAGCAGAAGCTTTCTTGGCCTCCATTATAAAATAGGGTGTGACATCTTTTTCTTAGTTCCTCAAAGATATTTGATTTTGCATCATTGGTTTTCTGGCTCCCTATTTTTGTGAACTGTTTGAAAGATTTGGAAAAACAAACCCATCTCCCTTATCAGATGGACCAAGGCCTATTTCTATCTGATATAAAGCCAGCTACTTGCTCATGATGACATAACAAGTTAAAAGCAGAGGATAGAATATTCTCCTGGTTCCTGTTCTTTTTTTTTTTTTTTTTTTTTTTTTTTTGAGACAGAGCCTCAAGCTGTCCCCCTGGGTAGAGTGCCGTGGCATCACAGCTCACAGCAACCTCCAACTCCTGGGCTCAAGCAAGTCTCCTACCTCCACCTCCCAAGTAGCTGGGACCACAGGCGCCCACCACAACACCCGGCTATTTTTTGGTTGCAGCCATCATTGTTGTTTGGTGGGCCCGGGCTGGATTCGAACCCGCCACCTTAGGTGTACGTGGCTGGCGCCTTAGCTGGTTGAGCTACAGGCACCGAGCCCTGGTTCCTGTTCTAATATAATCTCCTTTCTTTCGTTCGCATTGACCATTTTATATTCTTGCCCCTTTTTGCTCAGTTATTTCCTTGAAAGAAGACCAATGTTTGATTTATTTGATAGGGTTTTGACTTCTTACCTCAAAGAGTATTTCTTTTCCTTTGGGGTCTCTTCCAAAACACAGGGGTGGGGGGAGGGTGTATACCAGAGACAAATTTCATCTGTGCTTGAGGATGCCTTCATCCCAGGATAAATGCCAAAGTAATATAAGGGTCTTCCTCCTTAGACTACAGGTGGCCAGAGGGGACCTGAGATGGCTATCTGATAATACCTCTGTATTACCTCTGTAGTGTCAGAGGTAATTTCAGACCTTTGACAATGGGAAGAGAGTTGAAATAGCTTTCTAATTGTCTATTTCCGGTTCTGGTTTAGTTTCTAGAGTCTGTTGCCAGCATGTTTGTGGCTGCTCGGCAGCTGTCACAGAGCCTCAGTCCAGGTGAGCTTTGTCCTTTGCTTCACTAACAATACTTTCCTGGCCTCTGTATGCACAAGCTTCATCTCACTGTACCTGTCACAGTATATTGCTCTACAGTTGGAGGGGCTCTAAACCTGACATTTCCTGAAGCTCTATAGGGAAATTCTGCTGTACTGATAGAGGTTTATTCTGTCCTGTTTGTTATGCCTAGTCTGACACAGGGATCCTAAGAAACAGGTCTAATCAGAAGGTCCTTTTGTCTGTGCCCCAAATTCATCAGTCTCGGAGACCGTTTTAGTTTTAAGAGTATGGAGAAAGCTACACTAAATGTGACCTATGTTAGGTAGTTTGGGGTTGTTAAAAATGTATTTTTGGCCGGGTGCTGTGGCTCAATGCCGATGATCCTATTACTTTGGGAGGCTGAGGGGGGAGGATTGGTTGAGCTCGGGCATTCGAAATCAGCCTGAGCAAGAGTGAGACCCCATCTCTACTAAATATAGAAAAATTAGCTGGCACATGGTGGGCACCTATAGCCCCAGCTACTCAGGAGGCTGAGGCAAGAGGATCATTTGAATGTGGGAGCTGTGATGACGCCATTGCATTCTAGCCTGGGCAGCAGAGTGAGACTGTCTCAAAATTTTTTAAAAAATTTATTCCTTTTCCTTCCTATGTTCTACAGAAATGGCACAACTGCTCCTGGTAGTCTCAGATGGACGAGGCCTTTTCCTTGAGGGCAAGGAAAGAGTCCTGGCAGCAGTTCAGGCTGCCCAGAATGCTAACATATTTGTAATTTTTGTCGTGTTGGACAATCCCAATTCACGGGTGAGTGACAACTGAAGGCCACCTTTTCTGGAGACTGAAGTGGGGGATTCCCTTTAGCCTGTTCCCACCTGAAGTGTGGCCTAGGCTGTACCAGTTGTGGTGTCCTGTTGGCATCATCCTAGGCACCGTGCCTCTTCTCAGTCTTCACAGTAAGCCAGTGGGGTAGGGGGTCATTATTCCCACCTTAAGTGGGGGTCTGAGACTTGGCCTGGATTTAATTCAGAATGGCTCTGAGAACATCGTTTGTGGCTCATAATTTCCCTCTATTCAAAGTCAGTATAGGCATACAGCTTTGATAATGGGCCCTGACCACTTTGAAATGGAGACTAGCTTTTTCCACACTTAAATCTCAGCAGCCAGTCAGCCGAGTGAAGTCTGCCCATGGGACAGTTCTGTTCTAAGGGAAGCTTTATCCCTGCAGGTCACAGTAAAGCCTTGATAGTAAGGGAAGGTTTAACGTGAATTATTCCAAGTAGAGAATGGGAGACCGAGACCGAGACACCAGTGTAGAGGAAGTAGATTTTCTTGTCTATCTCTTTTCCTTCAATTCATGCTCTTGAAAGGGGCACTTAGAAAAAGACACAGAAGGCTAGCCAAGGATATTGATTTAGTTTTCCTTGTATTTCAAAATGTCTTTTTGTTAACAGGATTCTATCTTGGACATTAAAGTACCAATATTTAAAGGACCTGGAGAGATGCCTGAAATCCGGTCCTACATGGAGGAATTCCCGTTCCCATTCTATGTCATCCTTCGAGATGTGAACGCGCTTCCTGAGACACTCAGTGATGCCCTCAGACAGTGGTTTGAGTTAGTGACAGCTTCTGACCACATGTAGAACAGAAAGCGCAGTCTAAAGCAATTTTACTTAAACTGTGGTCAGAAAATGACACTTCATGTCCCAGTGCTTCATTTTGGACAACGGTTTCTGAATTCACAGCTCTAAAATATGATGGGCCTTTCCCTTTACTTAGACCTGATTTATAAATTCATCCATCAGCTTCAAAAACATTTATTGTAATGTACATATTTATTTTACATGAGCTCAGAGCCTAAAGAAGGCTCTTGGGCTCCCAGCTATGCCTGGGCTAAGATTTTGGAACAAACTTGGGCAGTGAAGGGGAAGCAGCAGCCGGTGTCCAAACTGAGGAACAGCTGCCCTTCCTCCCTTCTTGGAAGCCCCAGCCCAAGCCCTGGCTTATTTGAAGCCGAGCTGCCTGCTTTCCCTCACCTTGGACACCTGTACTTTGAGAAGATACTACCAGGAACATGGGGCTATTCCAAGGCTTGGACAAAGGACTAAGGGAGTTGCCCTTTTGACCCTGCTCCAAGCTCTGCCTTGCTAAGCTCAGTGTGTACCCAAAAGCTGTCATGGCTGAGACAGCTATAGTTTTCTGGCGAGTCTGAGGATGAATTTTCTTAGTGCTTTTTGTGAGGTTAAGAAGAGTGTGGTGTGTGTGTGATCTCATACAGCGGTCAGACATTTATGGGAGCCCAAGTCATCTGCAGGAATCCTTGGGCTCTGTGAACACCAAGTGGCTGCTCAGTGTCGTCTTTCATATTTGCTGCTTTGGGAGACTATGCAACAATGAAAAGGTGATTTTCCCTTTATTTCACTCAGTGCCACAGTCTCTGTTTTTGTAATTAATTTATTCCTGTAGTTCTTTTTCTCCCTCCCACCCCCCTACCAATTAAGGGGAAGAAACATTCCTTATGCTGCTTTCAAGCTGGACTGAGCCAGCCTCATTCTGGAAAAGAAGTGCTGTGTCTAGAACTAAACAGCTGTGTCTGTGTTTAGCGGTTTTAAGGCAGTGTTTATTTGTGTTTTGAGTTCTTGGCACTGTGTGTTCTATTTAATGTTCTTTATGCAACATGCCATGATATAATCATCTTGTTCTATGTCTGTTTTCAAGTTACACTGTGAAGTCTGCCACCCATCTGAGGTGGTCATCAAAAGACACAGATTGCTTCTTGTTTAACCAAGTGTCATAAAGCATGTACTTCAAGTTATATATTATTTTTTATTCTAAAAAGCTATGTAGCTTATATGCTGTAAACTATTAAAATATATACCACTGTTTATGGAATTTGTGACTGTTCTTAATGAACTGACAGGATTATAAAAGGTGTGCTAGAGAATTGATTTCTGCTAGGACAGTCCTTACTAGTTTATGCTGTGCTGGCTTATGACAGTGCGAGTTTATTTTCTTATGTCCATGTGGGTGAGTTGTAACATGCTGGCTTTGTCGCAAAGGGAAAAGAGTGGGAAGGGGGAACTGTGCAGTGACCAAAATGACAGATCTCGCTCATATTTCATTGGCTAAAGCCCTCTATGGGGAATGAAGGGTTGAATCTGGTGAGGAAATAGTTCAACATAATAAACAGTGATGCAGTTTATTACGTCTACCTTGGAAAGGTCTAAGATGGAGCTTCCCAGCTGGTGTGCCCAAGTAATACCTTGGGCCCTACGTTAGCTCAAGAGTCTGAGACAGTAGGAATTCCAGTAAGTGGGTATCTCAAGAGTGCTCTTCTTTTCTCCTTTGCTTTTCCTTTTTTTATTTTCCAGAGTCTGGCTCTATTGCCCAGGCTGGAGTGCCATGGTGTCAGCCTAGCTCACAACAAACTCAAAATCAAGCAATCCTCCTGCCTTAGAGCTGGGACTACAGGTGTTCAGCACCATGTCCAGCTAATTTTTTCTTTGTTTTTTTAAGTAGAGATGGGGTCTCGCTCTTGCTCAGGCTGGTCTTAAATTCCTGAGCTCAAGGGATCCTCCTGCCTTGGCTTCCCAGAGTGCTAGGATTATAGGGGTGAGCCATTGTACCCATCCCCTAAGAGTGTTCCACTTATGACTGGAAGAGGGAACAGTGTTACAGTACCCTATTGGGAGCTGAAGGGGTTAAGAAGCATGATGTGCCCAAGTCATTTAGAGAAAGTTACTGAGGATTGGGGCTGGCATCAGGGCTTGGAGGGGTGGAGATAAATGAATCTGCCAAGTTCATGCTGACTGTGCTGACATTTGTGTACTGTACTTCCCACTACACAGTCTCCCTGGTCACATATCTAAGTTCTGATATTTAAGGAATAGACACCTAGTACTCAGGAGGCTGAGGTGGGTGGATTACCTGAGCTCACAGGTTCAAGGCCAGCCTGAGCAAGAGCAAGATCCCATCTCTAAAATCAGCTGAGCATTGTGGCAGATGCCTGTAGTCCCACCTATTCGGGAGGCTGAGACAAGAGAATCACTTGAGCCCAAGAGTTTCAGGTTCTGTGAGCTATGACATGACAACACTCTACCAAGGGGGACGAAGTGAGACACTGTCTCAAAAAAAAAAAGAATGAACAGCAGAATGCAAATGTTTTTCATGCTCTCTTAATAGTCACATTTTGGACAGTCTCACCACACCCTTAGCTTTAATCATCACCTAAGCAAGAGGCCTGCAGAAATCCCCATCCAGGCATCTAGAAATTCTACTCTTTGGTGTTCTCAGATGTCTGCTGGAGCTGTACTTGAGTGGTAACATGAACATGCATCATGTTCAAATTGTCACTGTGTTCTAATTGCCCAAACCTCTTCCTTAAACATTTCCCACCTGGGCTGACCACTCCAGCTCCACCCTGCTTAGAAACTTTGAGCCAAGGCTATCCATTGGCTATACTTGCCTCCATCCATACTCCAATGAAGTTAATCATCTTACCTGATCTAACTTCAGCAGGTTCATCCTATCCTGTCTTCCCTTCCCTTCTCATCTGCTTCTACCTTAGCCAGGGTTCTTTTAACCTTCAATGATGCCCTCTTTAATCACTTATCTTTGCTTGCTTTGCTTCATCCCGTTCACATCCAAGTTCTTCCTGAAATCTAATTGGGAATCTCTTCAAAGCTCCCTGCTGTGAAAAGGGTCCTATTTAAGCTTCTTGGTGGGACCCTTGAGACTCTTCTCTAAATCTTCTGTCTCGTCTCTCCCAGCATCCCCACCACTGTCCTGATCGCTGCAGACCGTAGTTCCTAGAATCTGCCAGCATTCAAATGTTGTCTGGAATCCTCTTACTGACTCAGCCTTCTGACAAAAACTTAGCTCAGAAAAGCCCTCCAGAAAGAATGAGCTTCTTGGTATGAACCTTGTTACTGTTATCACTGCATTGAACTTAAAGGTTTTCTTGCCCAAAGCCAGAGTCTTTGAGGACTGAGAGCATGTAAGACTCAAAGTAGCACTACCACTGTCTAGCATGAGTGAATGTTTCTTGAAGGGAAGAAGAAATGGTGTAAAAAGGTTCTTCTCACATATTTATAGATTTGGGCGGCACCTGTGGCTCAGTGAGTACAGCACCAGCCCCATCTACCAAGGGTGGCAGGTTCAAACCTGGCCCTGGCCAAACTGCAACAAAAAATAGTGAGGCATTGTAGTGGGTGCCTGGAGTCCCAACTACTCGGGAGGCTGAGGCAAGAGACTCGCCTAAGCCCAAAAGCTGGAGGTTGCTGTGAGCTGTGATGCCACAGCACTCTACCAAGAATGACGAAGTAAAAAACTGTCTCTTTAAAAAAAAAATTTATAAATTTAAAAAAAAATTTATAAATTCAACACTATTTCAAAATTCCACTAAGAACTGTAAGACAGAAATGATATAAAACATTTCTACAGGTAATACAGAACACTAAATAGATTTTTACAAGGAGTCCCACCAGATAATAAGACATACACAATGAAATTCAAAACATAACACTAGTCCAAGATGAAACAATCCTGAACAGATTGAGACCCCCCCAAAACAATTTACCCACCCTCTAGGATGCCAAGGCAGTGGATTGCCTGAGCTCACAGATTCAAGACCAGCCTGAGCCAGACCAAGACCCTATCTCAAAAAATAGCCAGGTGTTGGCTCGGCGCCTGTGGCTAAGGAGCCAGCCACATACACCTAAGGTGGCGGGTTTGAATCCAACCTGGGCCCAGCAAACAACAATGACAGCTGCAACCAAAAAATAGCCAGGCATTGTGGCGGGCACCTGTGGTCCCAGCTACTTGGGAGGCTGAGGCAGGAGACTCTCTTGAGCCCAAGAGTTGGAGGTTGCTGTGAGCTGTGATGCCACAGCACTCTACCCAGGGGGACAGCTTAAGGGTCTGTCTCAAAAAAAAAAAATAGCCAGGTGTTGTAGTGGGCACCTGTAGTCCCAGCTATTTGGGAGGCTGAGGCAAGAGAATTGCTTGAGCCCAAGAGTTTGAGGTTCCTGTAAGCTGTGACACCAATCTACCCAGGGCAACAAAGTGAGACTGTCTCAAAAAAAATTTTTACCTTATGGTCAAGAAGTCAAAAAGCTCATAAAAAGGAGTAAGTTATTTAATGATGTTGAAATTATGGCTTTGTAGCTGGAAAAGAACTTAGCACCACTTCTAGGTGGAGTAAATACTTTAAAAATTAATGAAAAGTAAAAACAAAGTTGATTACAAAGCTCTGAATGGGTGATGAAAAGCCTCAAAAAAATACAAGTGACTTATTCTGCCTGTATAACGAAAAGACAAAAAATTAAATAGAGCTAACGGTCTGTATAAAACTGGAATAAAAGTTCTCTTCATCAAGCAGACCCATGTCACAATGTACAAAATCAGTAAACTAACAATGGTGAAGGATGCTTCACCCATTGCCCACGTGGTCACGGAGTGAGTGTCAGTCAGACGATGCCCAGTAAAGTCCAAAAGGGCTCAGGGTGGTGCCTGTGGCTCAGAGGAGTGGGGCACCGGCCCCATGTACCGGGGGTAGCGGGTTCAAGCCCAGCCCCGGCCAAAAACTGCAAAAAAAAAAAAAAAAAAAAAAAAAAATTCAAAAGAGCTTAGTCCTAAAGTGCCAAGTCCTGTTCTCAGTATGTCAGGTACGACTGAGGTAGATGCTGTTATTTCACTTAACAGCTAGGAATAGGGAGGACTAGCACCCAGACAGGCGAGGAGTCAGCAAATGCTCAGTAAACAGGCATTTTGGTTGTATCTTAATGCCCTACAGTACTGTTTGGAAAATAATATTGCAAAGACTCAGTAACGCCGCTTCCACCTGTAAAATCTGAGGGCAGTGCGAATCGTGCGGAGGAGAAAGCAGCTGCGAGGAAATGAAAGCCCGACGCGGAGAGTTGTTCGGATATCCGTTTTTTTGTTTGTTTGATTTTGGTTTGTCGCCCTCCGTAGAGTGCTCGGGCGTCACAGCTCACAGCCACCTTAGACTCTGGGGCTCAAGCGATTCTCTCGCCGCAGCCTCCCGCGTAGCGGGGACCACAGGCGCGGCCACAACGCCCGGCTATTTTTAGAGACGCGGTCTAGCTCTGGCTCAGGCTGGTCTCGAATTCGTGAGCTCAGGCGGTCCGCCCGCCTCGGCCTCCCCGAGTGCTAATTATTATTTCATTGTCACGACAATCCTACGACGCACTGCTGTCACGTGTCGCCCGGGAGGGATCGCAGGCGCAGTCAGGATAAACCAGCCCAGAACTCCCGGCCGGGGACGCGCTCCCAGGCCCGGCGCTCCGGTCCCGACGCCGGCTTCCGTAGCGCGCACGCCGCGGGCGTCTCCTAGAAACCCGCGCGCCCGCCCCGGTCGACCCACTTCCGCTCTTGCGCGCTGAGGCGCCGGCTAGGGTGCCTGGTAGGCATGGCCTCGTCCCGTTTACCCCCGGTGACGCTAACGCTAAAGCAGGTACCAGCGGCTCTCTCGGCTTTATGGAGACGCTGACCGAGGTCTGAGCCTCTTAATTCGCCACCTGTCCCTTCACCCCTACAGAGGGCCTCGGGGGTGGTCGGAGTGGCTCGCGGTAGCGACGGCCGGGTTTGTGGTACCTAGTTGTAAAGAACACACGAGATTACCAAAGAATTTGAACTGCTGTGTTAATTTGGGAAAGAAAATGCTGTTACTGTGATTACAGCTTCTGGAAGTCCAGAGGTTCATTTTCTGCACGGTCGTCAGATTTTGATTTTTAATGGTTCTTAAGTTAGACAAAGGAGTAAGCAAACAGCCCAAATATACTTCTTGTTGCTTTCTTTAAAAAAAAAGTTTCTTTACGTTTTTCAACATGATGACCAAAGGGAAGTCGTTGCGTTACATGTCGGTTTGCTAAAGGAGAGCCTTCCGGGCGGTGGGTTGTAACTGCTGGTTCTCCTCCCCTGCAGTTCGTGAGAAGGCAGCAAGTTCTCCTCCTCTACAGAAGGATTTTGCAGGCAATCAGGCAAGTTCCTGACGATTCTGATCGCAAATACCTGAAAGACTGGGCAAGGGAAGAATTCAAAAGGAATAAAAGTGCCACCGAAGAGGTGAGTACAGGCCCTGACTCTTGTATTGGGTGGTGAATTTCTAAGTTTAGCGGATGTCTGGAATATAAATGGCACTGAGATGGTTGATTGTTTCTTGTGATGTTACTAACTTTACACTCACCTAGGTGATGTTTTAAAATTTAATATTGCTGTATCTGTATTCCACAGTAACATGACCTGACTTTTATGCTGTCCATTTCTCATATATATGGAAACTTTGGGCTTTCCTAATATGCAGTAGTTCAAATTTCCAGTATTGGTTTTTGATTTTAACAAATAAAATGGTAGAGCTGTACCTTCCTTAACTAGGTAAAACAGTGACCAGATTTCACTTTCTTCTGCAGGATGCAATCCGGATGATGATTACTCAAGGCAACATGCAGCTCAAGGTGTTAGAAAAAACACTTGCTTTAGCAAAATCTTAACTATAGCATGTTCTGAAGGACTTTTAAAGTCTTCATGCAGTTTGTTCAGTTTGGACTCAATAACAGGCTAAACAGCCAAGTCTTGCTGTTTGTGTCTGGGGAAGATATCAGAAGATGGAGCATGGTATGTAGTAAAAAGCAAAAGAAAGCACATCAAAACAATTGTCTTAGCACTGGAAAACACACTGAGTCTTGAAAATGTTTCTTGATATGACAGCAGTTTTCAAAGGAGCAAAAAGCACTGTAATAAATGGCCATTTAATACATGAAAAGACACGCAACAGGGCAGTGCCTGTGGGCCAGCCCTGTATACCTGAGGTGGTATGTTCAAACCCAGCCGCCACCAAAAACTGCAAAAAAAAAAAACCACTCAACATAGTTAATCATCAGGGAAAAACCAAAAAAAACAATGAGATACCACTACACATCCACTACAGTGGCTATAGTTAAGAGAATAGGGGCTCGGCGCCTATAGCTCAACCGGCTAGGGTGCCAGCCACGTACACCTGAGGTGGCAGGTTCGAGTCCCCAGCCCGGACCCGCCAGACAACAATGATGGCTGCAACAAAAAATAGCGCCAAGTAGTTTCTTCTTAGTAATGTGTCTCAAGAATGGAAAAAAAGGCTCGGCACCTGTGGTTCAAGTGGCTAAGGCGCCA